TAAAGCCCCACTGAGTTAAAGTGAAACTTTCCACGAATGATCCACGGACCATAGGTTAGATATGTTCTCGTTTTAATCATTTTTTATTCCCTCACCATAGTAAAAATTAGAGTAACATTCTATTTTTGTACTTTAGATGTATAAATATATTTTATCCTCATCCAAAGTGTTTGGTGTGAATTGACCTTTGCCTAAGAAGAGTGAACCCTTATGTGGACTGCCAATATTTAGGTAATTATGACTAAATTTGACAACGAGTTTTACCGAAAAATGAGGTGGTACGTGGTAATTACATAAATTATGATGTTCAAAGATAAAATATTTTAGTCAAATAATAGTTGTATATTTTTATATGGCATAGTTGTATATTTTGTTGGCATATAGTTGTATATTTTTAAATATAGTCATATGATAAAGCTATCAAAATATACGAAATTTTTAAGCTTTAGTTGAATAATATTTTTTTATAATTATATTATTGATATAAATTATGTATTAATTTAGTTAATGACCAATAATTATATAATAATTTTTTATAACTATATTTTTAGTGTAAAGCATTTATCAATTTTGTAGATGATTAATTGTTGAATAATAGTTAATTTATTTTAATTGGATTTCATCTCTCAATCACATTTTTTTTTATCTATAATATTTAAATTTGAGATTTTACTTAAAAAAATTAAATATAATTTTATTCGGATCAACAACTTATTAGTAATAGTTTGAGTAAGTTTTAAATGAACTTTGTGAACAATTTGATGTTAGATGCAAATAAATTTATTTATTTTTAGCTAAATAAATCACTCATTTTTCCTTAATTTTGACTATTGAAACTTCATATTGATAACATGCTAACAAGCGGAAAACTTGCATTATAATAAGGGTACGTAGATCTATCCCTTTACTTTAATTAAATTATTAATGTTTGTTTAAAAATATTTATTTTTCGTTTCTTAATTTTATATATTAAACTCATTGATGATTATTTTTTATATTTATGTTTTATTTTTTATGTATGATAATAATTATTATTATTTATTTATTTTTAAATAATTTTCCTTACTAATCTAAGATTTTGGATCTCTCACTGATGTTGACCCAAAAAATTTATCATACATTATTATAAAGTAGGTTTCTTCATCTACAAAATTTAAATATGAAATTTTGCTTAAAAGGGTTAGCCAATAACTTGTAAATAAATTTTCTTTTCCATTTATGAGTGATATATCCCCTTCTAATGTTAGTCATTGGAGTTTTACACTAATAACATAGTGTCACTGTAACTTTATATTAATAACCCAGTGACTCAAAAAACTTAAGCAAACTTATCATAAATTCGTATAAAGTATGATTAAATCTAATTCAATTCTAAAAGTTAATTTATAGGATAAAAATTACATCACTCTTAAATACATTATTTTAATCTTATTGATTATTAATGTGAGACTTAAATTTTTTCCTAATTTACTCTCTCACGTCTAACACTATTAAGTGCATACAAATTATGTGTATAAATATCATAGTGAGTGGTTCTTTAATGAATTTAAGATATATTCTAATACTATCTTACAATTGAAATTATTTAGTGATCTTTTTACATTGTTGATCTATAAGTGATAATTATAGAAAAATCAAGGTTAAATTGTATTTTGTCATTTATTTTATTTTTAAGACCCATTTTGGTCATTTATCTTTTAAAATGTTCATTTTAATTATATATCTTCTAAATTTGGATCAATTTGACCCTATTAAAATAATAATAATTTTTAATTTTAAGACACAATTTTAAATTATTTTTTGACTAATTTAAAATATTTAATTTATCTCATGAGATTCACTTATATGTCAATCGATTAAATGCAAATAATCATATAAACATAAACATGATGAAAAGTTTTAAATAAAAAATTTTATAAACATGATGAAAATTATATAAACATAAGTCGGTAATTAAAATTTTAAAAAAAAATCTAATTTCATATTCTTTTCTAACTGTTTATGAAATATATTTTTCACGTGATTTTTTAGTTTGATTATACTTTTATTGAATTCAAACGACAATTGAATTGCATAGTCTTCATATAGATAAATATAATGTTATATGCTTCATATTTTTAACCAAAATCAGAAATTGATTTGAGATTCTATCACAATTAAAAATGACTATTTTTTTAATGGACTAAATTGATACAAATATAAATATAAAGATCTAAAATAAATATTTTTTCAATAAATATATGACCAAGATGAATCTAAAAAATAAGATACAAAATAAAAATATAATTTAGCAAAAAATTAAATATGAATATAATTTTTTTTATAAACAAAATAGAATTAACAAGAGTACAAGGAGTACTCTAACCCATGTATACAAAGTATTTAAAAAAAAAAAAAAAGTTAATACATTCCATATCAACCCAAAATCCAAAAACCCCCAAAATAAGCGACTTAATTAGCTTATATCCAACAAGTTTATCATATCACAGACACTATAATACCAACAAAATGAGATGATAAAAAGTAATCCTCACAAATGAGTAACACCAAATCAATGAGACAGAAAGTTAATAGTTAATATACAATATTAAGATAGACATACGTCAGGAGAATTGAACCAAGAAAAGAAATCATAATTGAAAGAGAAAAATCTAGTTCTTAACCATCTCCATTAACATAACTGCACCAGATTTAACATTTCAGAAATAACAATTATTTTAGAGCTGAATATGAGATCATTTATAGCCAGCCAAATTCACCAAATAATAAATAATCAGATAAGAATTCAATAGTTATAATACTTTGCAGAACAATAACAAAACCCATAAAACTCCTCAAAGTTTTGCACACAACAATTATGCATAACAGAATATAATAAATATATATTAAAAGTAATAAATATTTTTTACCTTGTATTAACATAAAAATAAACATATAAAAACAATAAATAAATAAATACAAATCTTAAAAATACAATATTTTATATATTTTATCATAGTTCGATCACAAAAATTAAACTGATATTATTTTTTTAAAATGAGGAGAAAGAAAAAAACAAAAATCACATGCGAAATTAACTCTCAACATTGGTTAGTAGAATATTGCTAAAAAAAAATTATTCATCAAAATTATAATAACAGCAAAAAAGATTCAACCTAAAACTACATTTATTATATTTTAATTATACCACTAGATCGATCCTAATTTAAAATACTTCCAAACCGCTCATTTGCATGAGGCACAAACCGGAATCAAGCTGATATAATCTTAATAAAATTGTTTTGATTTGAATTTGATCATATAATTTTCAAACTTCAAACTTAACCGATATGAATAGATTTCATTAACTCGGATTTAATCTTATCATAGTACATTAAACCAATTCAACCTACCAATACTACTATACTAGGAACCGCTAGGGATGACAAATATACCCGTACCTGCGAGTAATACCCGAACCCGTCCCGACTTTGACAGGAAATACCCGGTTTGACCGGGTACGAGTACGGGTAAAACCCGATATATTAAATCGGGTACGGGTACGGGTACGGGTATGTACTTACCCGTCCCGTACCCTTACCCGTACCCGTCCTCATTCTCATTTTTAATTTAATATTCACTTTCAATTTAATTATATTAAAAAAATTTAATGTTTTTTTATGTGTGATTATTTATTATAATATGAGATAAAGAAATAATCTAATTATAATTATAATATAATAAAAAAAATAATTTAAAAATATCATTTTTTACAAAAAATAAAAAATAAAAAAATTGACGGGTACGAGTATACCTGATACCCGACGGGGACGGGAATGAGGATGAAAATCTATACCCGACGAGTATAGAGACGGGAACGGGATGAGTTTAACTTGCGAGGACGGGGACGGGTATCATGAAACCCGTACCCGCCCCGCCCCGTTGCCATTCCTAGGGACCGCAACCCCAGTGTTGGGCTCCCAACGAATTCTATCCTCTAATCTTTTAACCTTTTCCATCTATCTATATTTAACGATATTAATTTTTTTTAATCTATATTTTCCACCAAAAACAATCTTATCCAAATCGGATAAGATTAGTAATATTAACTTTAAAAGCTTTAATTATGATATTAAAATGTGACATGATGCATACAACTTAATCGAATTGAGCAGTTTTGGCAATCTTATCTATTACTCGGACATGTGCGTAGGTATAATTTTTCATTTTAGAATTTTGTATACCCTTTTATTAACATTTTTCATTAGAGTAATTTAGATAATATGATATAAAAGATTAATTTAAAATAAATGATGACTCTTATAAAAAATAATACTTTTTAGTCTTAAATCTTTCAACAAACAACAAAAGATACAAATCACTCTCACACATTAAAAAAAAAAGAAAAAGAAATAGACTTGCATAAGCAACCAATTACCACCTACAAATAAAAAACTAGTCACACATTAAGTTAATTGTATAAACTTTATTATTAATTTTTATATATTAAAATATTATTTATTATGTTTTTTTTTTTGGTGTTGGAATATTATTTATTATGTTTAATTAAATATATAATAATTACATTAATTTTTAAGTCTACAAAAAGTAAAGTGTAAATAAATTTTTTTAAAATTATGAATTGCTTATAAGATCCCATCATTGAAATACATTTTATAAAAATATAATGTGAATTACTTAAAAATAATGTGATATTTTAAATTTTATTTAAAATAAAATAAGAACCTTAACAAGTTAGTAATAAAAATCATCATTGAAGATGTTTTTAAGTATAACCGGTTAACCTAGACATGTTATACCATTTTTTAACATTATAAAAAAACTTTTAAAATTCAACATTTTAAAAATAAATTCAGACATAAAAAGTAAAGAATTTAAAACTCCCAAAGGTCACATTTATATCTATGAAACTAAAATGATAAAAGATGTACATTTCAAGGAAGAGTTTCGCCCTAAAAATTATGCTTAGTGCAACGTGAGTTATTGCTTGTTAGCAGCTTAAATAAAGTTTTATACTAAATATAATATCAACAACAAAAGCAATAACAATAGGTTCGATCTCATTTAAACAACCATGCAAACACAGCCACAAACAATCATTGAACACTTTTCGCAAATTAATTTAACAATTTTCTGAAATGTCTATGCACTCCACATATTTTCACATTTGTCACTAATGTGAAAATGTGTTAGCATCCCATAAGTACAGGCTTTAGTTCTTTAACTGGATAGAGCATTTTAGTTCCCTTTCAGAACCATATGTGAGTCTGAACCGTTCATTCAAGTAGTCCCCACTGCGTATTGGAGGGAATCTGCAGCAAACATTGACAAAAGTTCATATCATGTTGCGTGTAAAACTAAAATTTAAGAAATGTATGTGGCATATAAACTTTTAATAAAGACTAAAATTTAAGAAATGTGTCATATAAGCTTTTAATAAAGACCTCCACCAGGGGATAATCTTTGTCGGTTGTGTTTTTCTTTGTTTTGTGCTCGTGTTTGTTTTAGTCTGTGTAGATTTGTACTCCATTTTTTCCTTCAAGTTTGTTTTTTATCCACTTTTAGCACAAAAGTTTTTGGATTTAATTTAGTATAAAATATATTTGATATTATCATTCAAACACCCTTACCTCTAGTTCAAGAGTTATAATTTAAATGTGAATAATTGAATGATAACATAAAAAACTATAGTCAACGTTCTTTTTTTTTTGGCTCTATCAGAATGAAACTCTTGTTGCTTACGTAGTTTCATGAATACATCTTAGTTTTAGTGTGGCTAGTAAAAGTTCTAAATGGAGAACAATTTTTTGCACCTGGGAGGAGATGATTCACTGCAGCAACTTTCAAAGCATTCCACTACACAATCTGAGGGCGGGTCGAAGAAGAATGCAACCTACAAAATTGCATATCATTCATATTTTATCGACTTCATCAAAATCATTCCGACAAGCTAGAACACCTCACCATAGTGCAGTTAAAAAGAAGTCGAATTTATAATGTAATGGTTGGAAATAACTATGACATCAGACAATTTCCTTGTTCCAGTTTTTTGAAGATAAAACTTAAACATTAAGACTCTTTGAAAAGATATCAACTTCTGATACAGTATTTCAGTGAATAAAGCATATCCTACCTCTAACTAACTCGTTCAGTAACATCTATGCTACAAAAAAGTTATTTTAGAAAGTCATGTGGCCGAGTAGCACCTTGGTCAGCTCAAAATGACAGAGAGAAGCTTTATTCAGACGTGTCATCTAGCATTATAAATAAGATTGTTTTGGTGAAACCAGGAAATATTTCCCTTATGTTCTGTCACTGTCACCTATGTCTGAAAACTCACTCGACCTATAGAGTTTGTGGGATCACGCAAATATCTTTTCTCACTTTCTAAGTTCAGTTATGAGTATGCTAATCCGATTCACTATCCAAACGTGTATAACTAGAGTGAAGCATACTTCATTTTGGTGGCCATAAAGCAAAATATAAAGGTATAAATTCCCTCGATTATCTCCTACCCTTGAAATAAAAATCCATGATAAGCTATCATTCAAGAAAAAACAACAATACAATAAAGCAAGTAAGGAAGTGGCTAGTAATTACAGAATAACGTTCTTTTCCTGTTGGCATAACCCTGTGAAGTGTTGATCTGCAAGGGTAATGACAAAAAGTGAGAATGATATATACCAGTATGGCAGTATACAAAGACTTCTCATAAGTACTTCAAAGAAAAAATGAATTAGCTTCTCCCATAATTAGCTTATGAAGAAATCCTTTTTTGTTTAGTTTTTTCAAAAGATGATTTTTAACTTATGTATAAACTAATTTTAACTTATGAGAGAAGTTAATTCATTTTGTCCTTCTTATTTTCTTTTTCTAAGAGTGTTTACATGGAAATTTATCTAATCACGATCAAAGACCTTGCTTAATACGTATGAAAAACCAATTGCAAAGTTTCTCAACAGCTCTAATTAGAAAAAAAAAAGAGAGAAAAACTCTTGTTGGAAGATGGAATTTACCTGTATAAACAATTTGTCCATCTCTCCATTAAGTCACCAATGTTCACTATTAAGGCCCTGCAGATAGAAACCGAAAACACCTAAGTCTAGGAAAGAAGAGCAGATAAAGTACATAATTTTTATTGGAAATGTAGTCTAGAATATCTAGATAATATAATTCAGTTGTGATTCAAATAGACTTAAAAGTAGTAATATATTATATACTATTTATAAATTTTCTTAATCATGAACTCACCCTTCTACATGAGACACATCCTCCCAGACTTGAGGTTGATTTAATTTCTCCTTGCAGATCTATAAATATAAAATCTCAAGCCTTTAATTATATGAAATTATGAATTGCAAATATTAAATAGAAATTATAGAACAATAACAATATGATAGACCCCCAATGAATAAGGCATACGAGGAAAGAAATTCAATTCCATTGCTACAGGGAGATGGAATCCCTTGCTGGAAGAAGTACAATTCCATTTCTTCTCTCTAATATCATTGCCAGGGGTATACTATAATATTATAATAATAGAACACAGAGGATACTATAGGGAAGACAAAAACCTGCAGTCCGGGAACACCATCAGTCATTAGGAGAGTGATCATGCCATAATCTGAATGAGGAGAGGCACCATATATCTCTTCATCCGATCCCAATTTACCTAACGTAATTGAAAGGCATATCATCAACAATAAAAGGTTGCAAAGGATAAATGGTTTGAAAACCTTGTCCCTAGTCCCTACTAATAAAGTAGCAGGAAAAACTTCAGAACATAATATAAAACACAGACTTTAGTTGCCACCAGAAATGCAGTTTTTGACTCAAAACAAGCTACAACTTTGCAACTAGCAAAATGAGTATTTGCAAAAATAAACAAGCAAATTATAAATATAAATATACCATACATTTAATTAAATATATTACATTATGTATTTCAAATTGGCCTATGGACTACAGTCACATTCATGTGCAATATAGTTCAGGCATCAAAATCAATACTTGAAAATAAAGAGCAGGAGGAAATTACAATAAGTAAAATAAATTTTGAAAGTCAACGTAGAAGATAAAATTGTGTCAACAAACACAGGCATAATTAAATTTTGTGCTTGCTTGAGAAGGTTCAGGAGAGCCAAAAAAAAATGCTAACAAACCTGGATAGTGCAAAAGGCGAAGAAAGGCTGATGGTTTGTTTGAGGCGCCTATCTTCTCAAAGTAATTTTCATCCAGATTCAAGGACAGGGCAATGAGAGACAGCAGCTCTTTTCCAGCTGTACTGTTATTTTCAATAAATTTCAATCAATAGTAAAGATTGTTCAAAAGAGTATTAAAAAGTTTGTTGCTACCATTTCTTTTGCCAACAATTAACAACTTAAGTGCATGTAGAAACTCACACTAGTTTCCAAAACAAGGATTCCATTGTAGGTCTCCAGTTTGGCAGTAACTCTGGAGTGTCCTCGCCAAAGAAAAAAAATGTTAAGTTAGTTAAGATCCTATTGTGCACAAATTAGAATGAAGTACCCAACCCATTCCTAACGAATTGAATGCAAAAGGGGAGCCATACCTTCAGAAGGCCACTGATTGAGATGAGCAATAGAGGTATCTTCTACAGAGCCAATGTAATAACTCTCTTTTGGATCACCTATTAATGAGGAATTTCAAAAAAAAAAAAATCATCTTTCTAGAAATACACAAATTGCATAAGGCCAGACACAAATTTTCTTAAGAAAGTCATTTGAAGTCTTATTCGATCTAACAAAATCTACTTGTAAGACTATCACTACATGTGAGATTGATCTCCAACACAATTCCTCTACACCGAGAACTAAATATCTTGAGCGTAATTTTGTAAGACTGAACATTTATAGGTAATTCAATAACCTAATAATGGGTGATGATAAGTCTAAAAAAAACAATTTTTAAGATAGGTTTTAATTTCATCCTAATAAAGTGGTGTGGAACCTAACTTTACTTTACCAAACTGGCTTATAAAATGATGATTGTTTATACTATTAAAAGACATATCACCTCTCCAACAGTTTTCATACAGCATTGGCCTCACACATACCGATTATTACCATACATTATACATCATTGTCATTCATTGATGTGTTGTTGATAGTTCCAATATGAATAAATAAAAGAGAATACCTTTGGAGAGCGAAGTAGGGTGAAGAGTCTCAGCATAGAGAGGAGTGTAGCCTCTGTAGTCCTTGCGGGCCAAGTCCATTTTGTGTTGGAGAGGAAGTGAGAAGAACTTGGTACTGTGGCCGAACACTTTCTTCATAAACTCTGTGTCCACCCCGTGGTTCACAAGGTAAAAGAAGCCATACTCCACGCATGCCTATTCCTTAATAGTTACTTAGCAACACAGAACATGACATAATAACATTGGAAAGCAGAGAAGAGAAGAGAATTGAAAACCTGACGGATGGAATTGGCGGTGGAAAGACGATGGGGCGAAGAGAGGTCAATGATAGGAAGACTCAATGTTGCTGCCATATTCGGTTCAACTCAAACAAACTAGTCCCTTCTTCTATTCAGCTCTTGAATGGTGTACATCAAAACTTGCTAAACATAAATATATATTCTTTTTATTGCACGTTTTTCTCGAATAAATATATAAAACATAATTGCATGTTTTATTGTCATTCATTGCAACACGGCCAACGCCTAACCTACCTACGCATTCCTGAAAAGTAATCCGGTAACAGTTTCAGTCATAGACTATCCTATTATTTTATATTCAATACACTGGAATAGGAAAAAATATGCCATTTTAAGTCCAACAAAACCTTGGGATATGATTAAAAAAAAATTAAAATCTTTTAAAAATTGTTCCGATGCCAAGGAAGATCACTAGAAAAGTTTAGCGACTATCTAAATTCAGAACCCTAGTGAATTTCTCTATCCCCTTTTAGTGCTAGAAAAACATTTATATATTAGGATTAACGTTTTAGTATAAATCTTTTATTTTCATATCTAGATACCCAAATAGTATGTATCATTAATGTTCTTAATAAATCATGAATTATGAATTAGTAATTATTATTATTATTATAAGTGTTGTATAATTCTCGAAGTTTATATCTTACTAATAAAACACCTCAATTTTTGCTTAAATTATCGAGTCGGATGAAATATTTTTTGACATAGATCTTTACTCGATATTTTATCAACACAATACTTAATTGATACATGTGCCTCAAAAATATATAATCGGATAAATATTTAAATGTTACACTAGTCGGCAAAATACCTAAAAAAGCACTAGTCAACAAGAAACCTAAATAATACATTAGTTAGAAAAATTATCAAAATGGTACATTAATCGAGAAAATACCTAAATAATACATTAGTAAAAAAATACAGGAATAGTATATCAATCTCAAACGTCAAAGCGTGAAAGGGTTTAGTTATTGTTTAGAAATGTTGCATAGTTAGACAAATACCTAGATAATACACTAGTCGGTAAAATACTTAAATAGTATATTAGTTAAACAAATACATAAATGATATACTAGATAGCAAAACATCATAACGATACACTAAAAAATCTAGCAACTATCCAAATTCAGAACACTAGAAAATCTCTTTATCCCCTTTTGGCTCTAGAAAAAAAAATCCATATATTAAAGCTAACTCCCCAATACAAAAATGACAAAAGTTATTTATTTTTTTTGTAAAATAACAATATATGTTTTCTTAAAATATTATTAACATAATCAACTTCTCAATACAAGACATTAAGAATTATGTCAATTATGGCGTGATTAATTAAAACAACTTATTTAATTTCTTTTAAATAAATTATAGATTTAATTTTTTTTATATCAAGAAGTAACCTTACCCCCATATTATATGTTTAGGGTTCAAATGCATTAGTTTTTTCGTAAAGAATATATAGTCCTAAAAAAGTACAAGACATTGACATTTTTAATATTTAATCGTGTTCATATTTTAGATTAAATTGCATTATCATTTCATTGAAGTAGTTGTTTTTTTTTTTAAGAAATAGACAATTCTTCTCTAGCGCCTTTTTTTTAATTTTTTTTTATTTAGAATCTTTTGGAGCAAGTTTTAGACAGAGAAATCAATGTTGACCCAGGCTGACCCAACCATAGGCCCAATCACGCATGGAGAACAGACCAGGCCGAGATCTGCCTTTGGGTTGCGATCCGCAATCACTTAATGCAAGTTTGATCGGGTCAAACAGGATCCATTACCACGCTGTGAGATGTAAGCCCATTGTGACTTTGCAGTGCAATTTTGACAAGGGCTTGCTAATTGCTAGTAGCACGGCCTTTTCTGTTCTTTGTAACCTTCATTATTTTAATAAAAATACATGAGAAATGCTAACATATTTTTTATAATTAGTTAAAATTTATTAAAAATTACAAAAATTGGTCAGTCTCACACCCTATTTAATTAACAAAATTTTAGATAAATAACTGATTTTGAATTGAAACAACATTAAATAGCTTTTGTTTTAGATAAAAAAAAATTATCCTGAAAAAAGAATTTAATGGCTACGCACTTCTCCATCTTTCCTGCAAGGATGGAACTTCTATTCCTCTTGCATGTCTTACATTAACCACTTCTCCAAATCAAGATTATTCAATAATTGTTATTTATCATCCATGTTCCAATAATAAATAACAATAGTAAATAGTAAATAAAATAATAATAATTATTATAAATAATATAATATTTTTAATTTTTAAATTAAATAATTTTAAAAAAAATTAACTTTCATTTTTTTTAATACTTTTTTTTATTAAAAAAACTTTATTTTCACTATATTTCTTAATTACTTTCCTTCTTTTCTCTAATCTTTCTTCTATTTTTTTTCCTCTCTACTAAATATAGCATTAGCCTCTTCTTGAATTTCTTGCATGTCTCATGAATCATGTTTACTTGTAAAATCAAGATAAATATGTAGATATTTTTGATTTTTTTTTTTTTGAATTTTACTCGTGATATTTATATTCCACTCTTAAGAAAATTTTGGTGACCATTTGGGAGTTTCTGTTCTTAGTTTTTTGCCAATATTGTAAGTTGTCAATAAGACTAAGATGATTTGGTAAACCCTTAAAATCAATTCCTCTCAGGTATCATATGTTGCAATGCATAAAATGTGACTTATATTAATTTCGACAAATATCTCAATTAAATTTAAAATTAATTTTATCAAAATCAATTCTATCTAACATTAAACTAAAAAGCACTTAATCTCAAGCTTGTGGTTCAGCGGTAGGAGTTGATCCACGTTTAAACAAGGTCAGAAGTTCGAATCCTGTCTTGTGTATGCAGTCGCGTTAAATCTTGGGGTCAGCTATCTCATTCTTTAAGGTGCCTCCCTCCTAATGAGGAGATTAGTCACTACTATAATCCTTAGATACTCTAAGGACGAAAAAAAAAAATACTCCAAAGACAAAAAAAAAAAACTAAAAAGTCCTTCCTTCCTCGGTCTATCTACCGATGTCTTCTGACGAATAGAGTAAATTTCTATTAAATGAAATCTCAGACTTTAATTAAATATAAAAGAAAATATATTTAAATAATATAAAAAAAATAATGAGATTTTAATGGTGAAAATTTTGATAGAATCTTAAGAAAATTTTCACATCAAAAGTTCCATTCTATTATTGGAGGAGACACAAAAAATTACAGCACATTTGTTGTGAGATTAGATCATTATAATTTAGAAGTCTCATCTTTGCTGCTTTTAGGTCATGAGGCTCATCCATTCAAATAGTATTCAATGAAACCCTCCTCACATGTGCTAATTACATTGGAAAATATGTCCCTAAAGTATAATGATAATTTGAGAAGTAAAATCGATGCGTCTTTCGGTCCTAAAATGTCAAGATGGTCAAGTAAACAATTATAGGGGACATAGTTACGAGCCGATTATCAATAATATCTTCACTTTAATAATATTTTTTTATTTATTAACTTATGGCTTAATATTATTACCCAAAAAAACTTATGTTTAATATACCAGTAAACTTCTGTGAACTTTGAATTAAAATCTCTAAACTAAAAAATATATTTACTATAATAGATTCATTAAATTTCTACAATTTTTATGATTCGGCATTTAAAATTAGTAAAACTTACACAAAACTTATACAAATGGTTATTTTTCTAAAGAAGATTCAAGCTATCATAAACTAATTTTCAATTACAAAAATTAAAAAAAAAAACAAAAACAGAAACAAAAACTCAATAATTATTAAAAAAAACAATTAATTTTTTTTCAAAAAGTTCAAGAATATGTTAATGTATTATAAATATCTAAAAAAAAATATTTAAAAAATATACAAATAAGACGTACCATTGTATCTATAATAGTGAGAATTATGGGGTATTAAACCTTTAAGTTAATTAACATCTAATGTTTAACAAAAATAAAAACATAATAATTTTTACGCCTATATATATTCATGCTAATGTGCTACTTTATTAAACTAGGACATCAATATAAATATGTTAATGGCTAATCAGTGTCTTAAGGACACTAGTTGAGAAATAAATAAGTAAAAAAAATATTGTGAAGTGTATCTGCCTTTGTATAACTTTATTTAGTTTTTAATGAAATTCTTTTATATATATATATATATTTTTTCATCTAATGCTCTAAGGATGCTGATTAGTAAGACCATTAAATATTCAGTATCAAACTAAGAGATGGATCAAAACAATTAAAGGGAGTCTAATTACTAATTAGTTATTTGAGCAAAGTGAACGATATTGTAAGTTTATTTGGTAATTGAGTTCAATTTTATGGATAAAAAAATAGATCAAAATTATTTAGATAGGTATAGAAGATATTTAATTAATGGAAAAGGGAGTAAGTAAATTCAGAAAGTAACTATAATAAAGAAAAAAAAACGCAACTAATGTAAAAAAAAAAATGATTAAAATTTGCCTGATTAATATGATTAAAATTCAACACGTGGTGAAATAGCGACCACAACTTTTCAAGCTTCTAATTGCTCTGCATCCACCTCAAAGCGAGTGGAAATCAACTATGATTTTTTTTTTGGGTGTTGAATCAACTATGATTTAAATAAGCTATCAAATTTGAATTTTATAAATAAAATAAATATAATTAAAGAGGAAGGTAAATAATTAATCAGATCACTTAAATAAGGATCAATCAGATTTCTATGCAAAAAATAATCATCAGTAAAGATAATAAATATTGATGATAAACAAAAGGAAAAAGGGACGGTATATGTTGCGGATTATTGTCCATTCTTTTATCTATTACTTCTTCTGGCCCATGCGTCATTGGGCTTAAGTAAGAATATGGGTAAGTGGGTAACCCGTAAAGCATAATGTTTATTTAAAAAAAATAAAAGAGAAGAACACACTAATTATTTTTTTTTTTTTGAAGGGAATTAATTATTATTTTTAAAATCAGTTATATTTCATATTATAAAGGCATGTATAAAAAAAAAAGGAATGATACGTAGTGTGTGGAGACTTTTCTACTTATGAAGTACTAAGAGCAACTCTAATGAGAGTTGCTTGTTGTCATTGGAAGATTCTGACATGACAACATGAGTTGCTTGAAGAAGAGAGAGAGTTGTTTCTTCAAGCAACCGTTCCTTACTAAATTTTAATCAGATCTTATTGAACATATTTAGGAACGTTTCAAAAATAATAATAATAAAAATTAATTTTGTATAATATTTTTATTCTTCACTAATTTTCATTGAAAAATCTAATTGATTAATTTTAGTAAAATTTTATCTTTCAAT